AATGCTACTTATGTCAAAAGGTATAGGTATACCTTTTGACCCAGCAATTGCACTTCTGGGTATTTATCCAAAGAAAACCAAAGCAATAATTCATAAAGACCTATGCACTCCAATATTCATGGCAGCACAATTTACAATAGCCAAGACATGGAAGCAACCTAAATTGCCATCAACAGATGACTGAATAAAGTTATGGTTCATATATACAATGGAATATTACTTAGCCTTAAAAAAAAGAAATCCTACCATTCACAATGCCATGGATAGACTTAGAGGTTATTATGCTGAGTGAAATAAGTCAGACAGAGAAAGATAGATACCATATGATTTCACTTATATATGGTATCTAAGGAACAAAAAGAACACACTAATCAAAAACAGACTCACAAATATAGTGGACAATTTGGTGACAGACAGAGGGGAGGGGAGTTGGGAGGCTGGGAGACTGGGGTGAAGGGTTAAAGAAGTACAAATTAGTAGTTGATAGTTGGGCATGGGGAGCACGGAAGAGGGAATGTAGTTAGCATTAATATAATGGCTAAGTGGAGGGCCAGGGGAGGAAGGGAGCAATTGGGGGGATCATTTTATGAAAATTATAAGTGTCTAACTAATGTACTGTATACTTGAAACTAATTTAAATAAATAAACTTATTTTTTAAAAAAATACTACTTGTGGACAGTGTTCCTTCAGAACCGTGATAACAAAATGTGCCATGGGGTTGGGGAGAGACCAATGCTTCCCCTATTAGGTCAGAACCCACCACCGCCCTGATAACTCAAAAAAATGGCAAGACTTAGAGCAACAGGTGATGGCATCCTAAGCACAGACCATAAAGGTCAGTGAAGAGGGATCGTGGAGGCAGAGAAATGACGTCTGATAGTCCAAAGGGCATCAGGCATTCTCCAGGGAGAAGAAAGCAAAGGAAGGCAGCTTTGCAAGATGCTACAAGGTACTTGAGGCAACCCATTTGTGACTTCAAGAAATATCTGGGAAACTCTTTACAGATCTAGCTTATAGAGCTTCAGGTATTAGCATTTGCACGTTAAAAGTTAAGCAATTTTTACAAGACTAATTCACAGGAAAAATACAAATGACCAATAAGCGTTTGAAAAAACACTCAACTTCACTAAAAAAATTCAAATGAAAACACTGAGATAAAAATGTTTCTCCAATTAGATTGGCAAAATTCGACAAGATTGATACCATCCTATAGAGAAAAAGACTCTCTTATATATGACTCATTAACACCATAAAGAAATTTCAGCTAATGGAGTACTAACCCAGGAGCACAAAAACATTATTACAGCATTGTTTATCATAGCAAAAAAGATGGACAATATAAATGTTCATTAATAGAGTTATGAGTAAATAAACCATAGGATACATTACAATAGAACATAATGCAACAATTCAATTCAATAACTGGCTTTATAAGATGGGGCTTTATGAGATGGTAAAAAAATATGAAAGCTGAAGAAGAAATTATATGGATGCATTCCATTAAAAAAAAAAAAAACCTACACAAGCAGAAGCCACTATTTCATAGGTGGTGGCAAAGATATGAGACTTACGTTAGAGACTAAAGAAAGTTTATTACTCACAGTAACAGAATAGGCAGAATATCAGTATTTATACCAATTACCTTACCCAGAATTCCCAGAGAGCAAAGCAAAGCAGTCCAGGTGATATTAACACATACAGTGGGTGGTGTTATGAGTGAGGAATCCTGAGCTTAGGGAACCCAAATCTTTTATATTGGGAAGTAAGCCCGCCTAACCTTATCTTTATTATAAGGGAAGAAGAGATTATATAAGCATAATAAATATAATCTCTTCTTCCCTTATACACAAAAACAGCCCACCCTTTGCTCTATAGGAAGACAATGTCTGAACCTTCCAAGCCTGTTCTCTCCACAAATATTCTTTAAAATATAATCCTGAAAAAGGCAGTCAGTGTCTCTTCTCATAAGATGTGCAGTAACATGAAAGACTCATGGAGAATTCCATGAATTCCCAACATTCTGTTGCCATTTTCATTTTGTGTAAACAGACAAAAATGGTAGCTGTCAATTAAAACGGTATGTTATTTTACTTAAACTAATAACAATGAAAATGTTGATGCTCTGGTCATCAGATGTCATAAAAAGATTTGTCTTTCCTACATGTAAGAAAATGATCTGATTGGTGGCTGATATAATGCTCATTCTATGCTTCTTCTACACAGTAGAAAATGGCTGATAATTATTTTATCTAATTAATATTTTTTACTCACTTAGAAAAATAACATCCAGACTGACCACTGGAATTGTTTAAGACAAAATTAGGAAGATTTTTTTTTTTTAATTATGTAACTTTAATGGTAGCCATTATGTGTGTAATTTTTGTCTCACACATTTTTCACTGGCAAATTGTTCTTAAAAAACAATTACATGTCAACAGCTCGGCAAGAATCTTTCAGTCGGTAAACAATATATATTACCTTTCTAGGAGAGTATAATTAAATAATAGATTTTTTTGGACTAAGCTCTCAACCTCTTAATTTTACTGTTGAAGAAACGGAGGACCAGAAACATTAAATGACACGAAGGTGGCCAACAACTAGTTAATGTCATAGCTGAGACTAAACCCCACATGCCCTGACTTGGAGCACAGGCTCTTTCTTCTTATCCAAATCCACATACATGATATGATAGAACTTTCAAACTGGGGTATGCATAACCCTGCAGGCAATGGCAGCATGCCAGGGAGGCAAAGCCACAGGATAAACACAGGGTGTCTTGCTTCAATGTAAATATTACTCAAAGATTCGAGGGGACCTAGGAGAACCACTTTATTTTTATATTAAAACAAGACTGATTGTAAATTTATTTTACATGAATTTTTAAAATTTCAGGTTGGATCCCTCAGGCTGGATTCCTGAGGTTTTAATCCTACTACATGGAGGTAAAAATTCTCTCTGCTCACTCTGCTAGGGAAGCTTCTTTTGTAAAAGTTTTTACCACCAAAGTGAGGATTTCTAGGAAGGATCTTTCATCCAAGAAGTGCCTTCACTAACCTCCATCGTTCACATTCTATTATTAAATTTGTATTATTTTAGTTCTCGTGATCAGTTAAATTGCAAATTTTTTTTGAAGAAGGAACGCATTAAGACCTTACGATAAATGAGTTTCTGAGTTCTTTTCCTTAGAACAGAACTGGGTTTTTTTAATTTACTTTTTTCTCTTAATAAATGTACGGTAAAAAGATTTAAAAAATAAGTCAAGGATAGATTTTTTTAATGTGATTTTAGTAGAAAGTATCTAGTTAGTAGTTTATTTATGTAAAATGCTCTCTAAAAGTATTTTGCAGATGGTTATAAAACTCATATTTGTGTAATATACAAAATTGGCCAAGGTAGTATACATTTGCATGTTTCCATGTAGCATTTTTATGCATGATATCTGAACTGCTATAACATATGTTAACAGAAAAATGAGAGACAAAAGTTCAGTAAATTATTTTATAAATTTTCTCAGTGGACTGTTATTCTCATCTGATTTTTTATTTATGAAATGAAAACCATTAAACAATAGTTCACAGATGATTACTCTCTCCACAATAATTTAGAGGACTTTTACCTACCCACCCCCACCAGGCCCAAATACTTTTTAGAAGTACTAAAATTGAGTGTGTTTGAGTTCTCCATTGACACATTTTTTAATGCTTTATTCCAACACCTGACTCATTTAAAAAAATCCTGTATTTAATTCGTAGATTTCAAGTTCAATCTCGGAGCCAAGAAACCAGCTTGTTCAAATTGAATTAACATTTATTAAATGCAATGTTAGTCTCTGACAGAAGATAGTAATGACAAATACAGAATCCTTCCTCCAAAATTTCCCAAGCTAGAGAGGAACCAATCTCATGTAAATTATAAGATAATCTAGGCTAGCCTGATCCCGGCTGATCTTGGAAGCTAAGCAGAGTCGGGCCTGGTTAGTACTTGGATGAGAGACCACCTAAGAAGACCAGGTGCTGTAGGCGTAAAAAATAAAAAATAAGGGACTGTAAACTGACAAGGTCCTTGCAATCTGTGAGGTCAACCAAGGGTTGAAAAAAAAAAAAAAAAAAAAAAGTCTAAGCTATAGTTTCCAATAGAACTTGGGAAGACATCAATTATAAAAATATATATATCTTCGAGATTGGAAGAGACTAGCCAAAAGTGGTTCATCTTACACATTTTCTGCCAGAGGAAAGACTTCTCAACTGCTGAATCAGTATGCACTTACTCTTGGCCAGTAAAGTCAGCAAAGTGCTCCATTTTTCTGTGCTCCTGGAACCTGTTGGTGCCTTGATATTGCCACCTCCATCTACATCTCAGAACTGAGTCTAGGGTGAGGCAAGTGAGGCACTGGCCTTAGTGCAAAGATGTAAGGGGGCACCAAAAACTCAGCAAAGTAAATCTTAATGCAATAGTTTTTTATTTTTTTTTTAGAAAAGCAAAATTAATGCAAAACATTGATGAACGAAATGTCAAAATGTTAAATAAAAATCAGCAGAACTGATTTTTTTTTTCCTTTTGCCTCAAGCTCCACTAAGATTCCACAGGGCACTGCTTCACCCCCTATCCCCGCACCCACCACACACACACACGTGGCCAGTGGTCACCAGACACATGTAATTTTCCGAAATCTAAATTTTCTGATATTTATATATTAAATCAATAAAATTATTATTATTGGTGCCTCTTCTGACCTACTCCGGCATAGCCCATTATCCTCTCTCCAGTATCCACAACAGCAGCGCAAGCGGCGGACACGAGTGTGTACGAGGTACCACGCGGTGGGCGCTGCCAGGGCCACACGGCGCAAACGTCACAGAAGTCAGGCTTTGGCTTGAAATCTTTCCTGATTTGGATTGGCTTTTAGTCAACGAGATTGTGGTAACTGTTGGTAACAAGACAATGAGCGGTGGGCCAGGCTGGGTCAAGTATAGGTGCCATTGGCCGCCTGGATGTCCCGATGACCTGGGACCGGAAACACCTGCACCGCTCGGTCCGAAACAATACAAGCCTTGCAAGAGCTCCGGGGCCTGCCCTGGAGATCAGCCGCAGGGTAAGAGGTGCTCCCTTCCCAGACCAAGACCCCCTCCTGTCCCTGCCCGAAAGCCCCAACCCGCCCAAAGCTGCTTCTGGGGTACCGATCGGAGGGAGTGAAGCAATGGGGCTTCAGACCTCCCCTAGAGACCTGTTAGTCTCCTCAGTAGGGATAGGGGGCTGCCGCTGACCTGCGCTAATAGACTTATATTGACCTCTTCCCGCTTACCATCTACCACATATGTAACTCTGGCAGTTTAGAAATTAGATAACAAAGCCATAAATTTGGGTCTTGACTCTCCCAATATTAAACATATTGTTTAATATCTATCATATTATTTTACAGATATATAAAATAAAATATATAAATAAATAACATATTTATATATGTAAAACCCCTGAAATGTTCCTCTAAAGTGTAAATTGACATGTTGAGGAGAGAAGGCTGTCTGATGAATAATACAAGCAGAGTTGAGGGCAGTTAAGATAATGGCTTAAGTCATACTTGAGTGGGGGAAAAAACGTCAAAATTATGCAACAAAGGAGCTAGCACAGTGTTCTGGAGTTCTTAGACGTGTCTGGAAAGGTGTGGGACTACATGATTAATCAAAGCTGAGAGTTCTGTAATGAAAGCTATTCACAATAAGCCCCAACTCACCTATGGTGCATGTGTGTTGCATGAAGGTATAGGAATTTATTATTACAGTACGTAAATTATCAAAGAGAAGGTATTTTATTCTAAAGCTCCGAATACAGGCTCCATTCTTCTGGGATTTAATAAGCCCGCAATTTCCAAACTTTATTTTCCCGTTTTATCCAGATCCTAAGGCATCGGGCTGTGGAGGGTGCTGCTGTCTGTCCTCTTTGTGCTAGAATTGTGCACCGCCCAGTTCTGTGTTGGATACTTCTTATTTTCCTTTTTTGTTAACCAGCTAATTTGAAATCTGACTTTTTATCCCCTCATCAGGTTACAGAAATTGCTCCTTAAATTCAATACTTTTTCTGGGTCAGATCCTCTACCATGGTACACAGCACTGCAGATTCAAATTCTACCTTCTAGAAGTGCACCGTCCTGGCTTCCACTGTTTCTCCTCCTAACTTTATAACCATCCCTCTTCTGTCCTCCTTCCCAGCCTGGTGCCCTCATCCACTTTCTAAATGTAGATCCTTCACAATAATCTTACCTGGGCCGCACTCACTCCTTTGCGCTGACCTGACTCACCAGGATATACATTCTCACCCTGACATCTCTGGTGAGAGCAGCTCGCCTACCTGCAGCTTCCTGCCTTGACCTGTATGTTCCCCCAGCACCTCAATTTCAGCCTTTCTAGGCTGAATTCACCCTCCCTTCCAGTTGCCTTTCTCATCATCATGTCATCACATTATCATCACCTGTGACTTCGCTTGCCCTTATTCTCTGCCTCCAGTTACTTGCCAGTTCCGATCAGTTCTCTCTGTACCCCCCTGTCATCTCTGTTCACTGCTCATTCCTACTTGCCACTACCCCAGGGCAGGCTCATCAGCTCTCGCCTTGATTTTCCATTGGCAGCTTTGCTTCCTGTCTGCAATTCTCTCGGCACCCCTGGCGATCGTACATGTCGCTGCAAGTCATCTCCCTGAGGCCGAGCTTTGCTGCATCTTTCCTCCAGTTTAAAAATCCTCTACTATTTCTCTATTGCCCAGAATTGAGTCTCATGATTTTTAAATAACTCGATATTGGATATTGTTTAAAAGCATTGATGTAGTTGCCACGGGGAAAATCAGAACGTTGTTGGGCTTACACTGATTTAACCATGAAGTTAGTGTGCGTTTATGTGTATGTGTGTGTGTGTGTGTGTGTGTGTGTGTTTCATATCTATGTGTGTATGTATATATAATAAAATCCAATTAATTTCAAATTACAGATGACATAAACTATGTGATTTTAAGCTAGAGTTCTCAGGCCTGTAAAAGTTTTGTTTGTGGCTTAAGTGCACACTTCAGCCTAAATTTCAAAGTTAGCACAAATCCAACTTTCTTAATTTATTTCTCACTGTTGACTTACATGTGCTTTTCACTGAAGCCAGACTGTACAGCCCTGCACTCCTCGAATTTTTTTCCCCCACTTCTTCTCTTTTGTGAACTTACTCCCTTTTAACTAAAATGTACATCTGTCAATATGCTATTTCTAATTTCTCCTCACCCTTTCAAGCCCAACCCAACTGTCAGTCCTGCACTGGAATCTCAGAGTTCCCATGTTGATAGTAATTTCTTCTTCCTCTGAATTCACCAGAAGATATTTTCCTTTATCATAGCTCTGAACACGTACGACCTTCTTTTACATCATTGTATGTCCCTTACTCCTCCTACTAAAAGGTGTGCTCGTAGAGAGCAGTCACCTTACCTGATTTGCTGTTACATTTACTAGCTATTCACAGACTAATCATAGCCTGAGCTAAGCACACAGTAATTTGTCATTCAATAAATGGCTGAATTATCTGTTTGTATCTACTATTTTTAAAATGTTCATCTTAAAGAATGCTGTTAGGTGCAGCTGCTATGGAAAATGGTACGGCAATTCCTCAAAAAATTAAACATAGAATTATCACACGATCCAGCAATTCCACTTCTGACTACATGCTAATAAAGTAAAAGCAGGGACTCAAAAAGATATTTGTACACCCACGTTCACAGCAGCATTGTTCACAAAAGCCAAAAAGGTGAAAGAAACCCAAGCATCCATGGATAAATGGACAAAGTGTGGTACATATGCAATGGAATATTATTCAGCCTTTAAAAGGAAGAAAATTCTGACACATTACAACATAGATGATTCTTGAGGATTTTATGCTAAGTGTAATAAACCAGTCACAATAGGACAAATGCTGTATGATTCTATTTATTTGAGGTACCCAGAGTAGTCAAATCCATAGAGACAAAAAGTGGAAGGGTGGTTGCCAGTGGCTGAGGAGCGGGGAAACGGGGAGTTAGTGTTTAGTGGGTGCAGAGTTTCATTTAGGAAGATGAAAACTTCTAGAAATGGATGATGGTGGTGATTGCACAACGACATGAATGTGCTCAGTGCCACAGAACTGTATAGTTAAAACAGTAAATTCTATATTATGTATATTTTACCACAATAAAAGAAATAGTTCAGGGAGAGAATTCTTGTTGTGCTCCTTTAGATGAAAGGAATATGCTGCTATTGAAGTCGCGTGTTGATTGGGAACTGGAACTGCTCCACCTCGGATTCACTGAAACTTGAAACTTCTTGGCACATTTTCGTGTTCTTTGGAACTTTGACATTAATACTTGTTACCAGATTCATATGAAATTTTGGGTTGGAAAGAAAAATACCATCATAAAAAGCTGTGTAAATAAATAACTAATTATACCAACAATTTACATACTATGCTGATCGTTTCCATTTCCCTTTTTATCTTGTAATTTTCAAAATTTGATTTAAATTCTTAAGTATTCAGTCCATGACTAAAATTTTCAAAATGTGTATTAATTTCTGATTACTAAATTAATATTAAAATATTCAAACATTATTCAAAAGCATATTGCTTAGAAAGTGAAAGTCCCCCATGATCTCAAGCGATAACCGTTGTTAACAATGTGTATATTTTATATGCATATAAATGTCATTGGTGACAAAAATATTGTTACACTTATACATATTATATTGTCAAAAGCATTTTTTACTTAAAAATGTATTTCTGATGTCATTATATCTATAGCTATCCATCTCTATATTTTAAGCTACTGAACAAAAGTATTCTATTGTGAAGTTACATCTTAATTTAACCCATTTTCCAATTAATGTGGCATATTTCACAACTACAGATGTGTGCTGAAGTGAAATGATATTCATATTTTGTGCGTGTGTGTGTGTGTGTGTGTGTGTGTGTGTGTGTGTGTACCGCTGTGTTTCTGACTCCTAGATGTGGAATGGTGGGATCAAGTTAAAAGCACATTTATAATTTTAATAGATAGTTGCAAATTTTTTATTTTACTTTGGCTGGCCTTTAACATCCCAAATACTTTGGCAAAGTTGACCACACATAGGAGAAACCGACAGTTTAGATGTTTCAGTTAAAATGCCCGTATGCAGATGTCCAAGCCTGATCCATTGGGTTTTTCCAAACCCCAGATTCAGCTTGCTTGTCAGGATAACAAAATACCCTGATAGAATTACCTGGAGCCAATGAATTCTTCAAGACTCAAGATTCAGCTTCTGTAACAGGGTAACAAAGAAAGTTTGGGACTATAAATTAGCAACTGCTCTCCATCCCTAGGATATCTACCTCTGTTACTTTAAGTATTTGCTCATTCTATTAAATCTAACTAAATAACAAAACCATTGTCAAAATTTCATAAATCACTTACTGACATTACAACCTTACCACCTTCAACAAATCCCTGCCAAATTTGGTGATTGTTTTGACTCTGATAATTACAATGTTTGTCAGATTCCAGAAGTGCAGTGATTATACTTTTTACTTTTGTCGTGTCTTGTTAGCTTTACTCTTTCATGGCAAATTATAGATCAGCTTCAATTTTTCCATATTGTCTTAGGCCATTGGTGTATAAATATTATTTTGTAATTTAGCAAAGGACCTCAGAAGGAAAAGCAAAACACTTAAATAGCTGTTGTTGAGTCTGTATTTTTAAAACGAAGTCTATAAGAATAAAAATTGCTTCTTCTTCACTAAAAATTCCCATGGTACAAATATGACAGTAACTCATGAAAAACGAAGACACTATTCCTTTGCAAAGAAAGGGAAATGATATTCATTCACTCATTCATTCATTGGACATTTATTGAGAATTTACAGGTGCGAAACACCTATATGATAATGTACATTATATTCCACTTCCTTCACCTTCAACCTTGACACTGTCTTCTGTAAATGTGGAAAACATATCAAATATTAATTCCCTGTGTTCGAAAGAACATTTAAGGATATTTAAAGACTAAATTACCTCATAGAAAATCTAAAGCTTGTTCTTGATGTCTATGAACACATATACGTTTTTTTCTTTTTGATTAAAAATTATTTACACATCTGTGCTCAGGATTAAGGATAATGAAATTCAACCACAAAAATGATTAAATAATATATAATTGTAGTGCTGGAATTTATCAGTTTAGAGTGGTTGCCTCCATATTCTCCTTTCCTTTGATCTTGTAGACGTTATTGTTATTGACTGGAAATGTCTCAGTATTTTTGCTCAGTGGAATGTGCTTTGACAGATTAATTATATGTTATCAGGCAGTTGAAGATCAACTAAAGATATGTGGACACAAGAGGGATGCTGATGTCTTTGAGCTGTTCCTTTCTAAGAAGTAAGTGTATTTTATGTAAGAAATAGAAGGGCATCACTATATACATATATATATATATATATATATACACACACACACACACATATATATATAATATTTCATAGATTCAAATGTTCTTTTCCAGTGCCCCCTCCCAAGGACTGGATGAGCAAGTACCACACTCTAATTACTTTACCACTCATTAGAGTCACAGTTTTCATTGGAGAGGCAGCATATTGGAATGGATAAGAACAAAGATTATGGAGCCAAGCTAAATTTGAATCCCAGCTCTATCTCTTCCAGCTGGGTGACCTTGGGCATCTAATAAACCTTCCTGTTAAAGCTGTCAGATTTAGCAAACAAAAAATATAGAATGTCCAGTTACATGTGAATTTCAGAAAAACAAAGGAAGATAATTTTTTTAGTATAATTATGCCCCACACCACATTGGGACATTTGTTGTTGCTCTGAAATTCTCAAAGTGGGTATCATGTATTTTATCTGAGTACCCTATTGCCTGCATATGTACAACTATACTGTCTGCTTCACAGAGTTCTTGTGAGAATTAGGTGAGTTCATAGAAGGTAGGGGAGGGCCTGGATGCAGTGAACACTCAATGAGCTTTAGTGCAGTTAGTATTATTACTATTATTAGTGATAATAATGACTCATTATACCCCTATACTATAATAGCAACAACCCCTATAATCCCTAGCTAACAACCCCTATACTAATTTTACTGGTAAATAGAAAAACCTCTTCCTTATATAACAACCCCCTTTGATCCCACTCCAACTCCCCAAGGTGGCAGACAGCAAAATGGGTTCTTCCTCTACAGAACAGTCACCGTGCCTGAGACAGAACCCAGGTGGAAGAGGAAGAGGAGGTTATGGGTTGCATTGGACTCTGACACCATAGTTTTTACAAACCAACAAGTGATACCTGTGCAGTCAAAACTCGTATTTTAATAACAATGACCCTATTCCTATTCTTTTTTCTCCCTTCATGCTTTTTAATTTCTATGAATTCTATGAATTATTTTAAAATAGGCTTGATATATTTCTACTTATATGTAATCTGTGGAACTCAGTTACTTTTTAAATAAAATGTCTTACTTTATCAATGAAGTTAATCACTTTACCTCTGTTGATTGAAGGACACCCTTCATTAGTAAATATATTTCTTTTGTTATATATAAATACTTTTTAGTTTATTAGTACAGAGAAAGATATTTATCTTTGTAATGGCCCTGAATCTCTTGGTAGTAAGGGAATAAATAGCTGACCAATTTAAGATTTTTAAATAATATATATTTCAGAATGGAACAGGTATGGTAGATAATTCTGACACACTTAAGGTCATAGATAGATATAGATAGTTTTACGATAAATATTTCATGTAGTCAAAGATTGCATCTCAGACCTTCATGATTTTAACAACTGTATGCTACTTATCTAAAGGGTACATGGATAACAAGAAGAAAAGATTTAAAACACTAGAAAAAAATACTGATTTTCTGACAGTGGGTCTTCTCAACTAATAGACATTATATATCCTAAGAATATTAAATTACCATTTAATCCATCTAGGTACAAAAAAAAGTGTTTCACAGTCCAGATACCAGTAAACTGGGTTATTTGCCTAAGCCTCCATTGTCCTTGGAAAATGAAAATCATTTTACCAATGACTCCTTGAATAATCACTGAGAACATATACCATGACAACGGTGTTAACAAATTATTGTCAGCATAAGTCATTGCCATCACTAGGAGTAGAATTTCTTCTCCTTTTCTTCCATCGGCCTCACCTTGAAATGTAAGTCTGTTATTGATTTAGGACAGGTTTATGTGCAGAATCAACCTCTCTGACATGAGTTAAAGTCCCCTTAAAAGTGAATCACTTTATTACATTATCTAATAGCTAAAACTTCAGCATCAATACTAGCATCAATACTACTTGTATAAGTAAATTAGTGATAGTAACGTGACACCGTTGAAATTTTAAAGTATTTTAAAGTATGAAATTTTAAAGTATTTTAAAGTATGAAATTTTAAAATAACTTTTCAAGGAAATCCTCCAAGTGGGGCTTGAGTTTCTCTGCTATCTTGTAATGATTATTTTATGTCTTATGGGAACAAATGAAGTTAAAATACTATTATTGTTGCCCAATGCAATAGTGAAGGCATACGAGGGTCCACCTCAAGGTTAAATATAAATGTGAAAGGATGTTGCCACAAATGAGTTAATATAGGTAATATTAATTAACATTAATATTTTTAAAGTGCTTAGAAAAGTGCCTGGCATGCAGAGTGTGCTCTGTAATAGTTTGATAAATAGAGACATATATGTCTACATACCAAGCCCGGGCCCATAATTTTTGCCCTGAGAAATAAAAGAGACCTGAATACTCCAGCCCACAGCAGTCAAAAAGCCAACTATCCTCAGAGGCTTTGCCCTCTTTGCTGACAGCTCCTCCTCCCTGCCCCATATCTGTCTCTTTGCTGAGAGAGCTGCTTGAGCAACAAAGCTCAGGACCCCTTGGAGAGCTAGAGTCCTGCTCAGTTCAAGAAGGATGGGCAATATTTCGACTCCATATTTAACAAATGGGAAGAGAGAATAAAACACTTTACTCAGTCTCTGTCTCTTGATATTCTGTGATCTCTATGTAGTGACCTAGTCTAGCCAAGCCTGGGACAACCCCAGAGACCCCTACAGATGCCCTTGAACCAGAAGCTAATAACATTTCCCAAATTCACCTGTAAGTCCAGTGTCTTCTTGCACTTACATTTTCCCCTCAATCTTCTCCCCAGTAAAATGTATTTTTTAATTGAGGTCCCAATAAATTCTGTGATAATGAGGTATAAATTTATATTTCTACTGTGATAAAATGCTCTCTTTTAAGTATCCGTTTTAACTGGCTGACAAAATCTTAATCCACATGAATGAAATTTTAATGCTAGAATTTCAGAAATTAGCATGTAAATGTGTCAACAGTTTTGAAAGGACAAAGAGAGAGGTTTTTTCAGTTACTCCAAAGTCGTACTATCTATCCTGCCTTATCCATGAATGAATTAATTGTTGCTTATAGTCACTTTCTTTTTCCTTTTCAGGGAACTGACAGATGTCATTGACCTTTCCAGGTTTAAAAAACTAAAATACTTATGGCTACATCATAATAAGGTAGTATTATATTGTATCTTTAAAAGGCTCTGTAATTAAATTACTATCTTAATATCATGTTTTTAATAGAGCTAATCTTTAAAGGTATTAATATTGTATATCCCTAATTTAAATTTAGGTAGGAAACATTATATGTATATATGTGTATATATTGAAAAGCACAATTTGTGAGATGGTATCACACTGCAACTTTACTTTTGTCTCCCACATCCTGTCAAAGCTGCTTTCCGGGCTCCTGGAACAAAACTAGGGCAGTTTCATGACTTTTTTTCAGCTCTCCTACGTAATTCAAAATCTTACTGCCCATTTGAGTTATTGTCATGGTTCCGAAATGAGAATGTCTAGGAAAATATATTAATCGACTTTTCATCTGTATTCATAAGTGAGACATCCCTCTACCATTTCTCCCGTATCCAGCTGCAGTTTATTAGCAAGGGAGGTGTGGTTTTCCTCCACTCTCACCTCCACCCTATCCTTCTCCAGAGTTGGAAAGGAATGGGGAGATGTAGAGGTAAGGAAAGGCAATGGAGAAACAGTGTTTTGATTTGCACTGTCTGGTGCTAACAGATGTTCAAGTTGTCACTTTTCTCGTCATGGGTTTTTCAGAAGCTCCTCTCCTAGATTACTCCCACTCTAATTCCTCTTTGCTGGCCACTTTCGACCTCTCCTCACCTTTTGTCCAGTAGTACTTACAACCGAGGGTCACCTGGACTTGGCAAACTACCCTCATGGGCAGGAGTCCTCATAAAGCACCCCAGACCAACACTCTCACGATGGTGCTGCATTCAGTTCCCAGGACACACACACCTTTGCTCTGCTGTCAGAGGCCAGGGGACTTGGTTACCTCCCAGTTGCTACCCAAAGCCACCATGTCCCCAACTGCAGGGAACACCCTTCATGGTCAGTGAGTGTAGCCCCTGAAGTTTCTCCTAGAGGCTCGGGTTTAGGAGGCAGCGTCCTCGCACTGCCTGCCTGACAGTGGTTGCCTGAGTGGGTCCACGAACTCTGTCCAAGTCATAGAGCAGGACTGAAGTAAAATGCAGATGCAAACAATCTTTACAGTTAGCCAGTAAGCTACTCTCGACTTTCAAAAATTTGACTTTCCAACAGCTTATATTTTGTTCATTATAAATCGATTATCCAGTCTTAGTATTTTGAATTTAGACTTTCAAACACCAGCTGATTAAAAAAAAAAAAAAAAAAAAAAAACTCTTTTGCGTTTTCAGCAATACGCTTGTCAAGCAATAGTCCAGATTCAGTGTTAAATCTTTAAGCAGCCATGTTTATGAAAGTATCTCAATCTTACTTTGCATTTTCAGTCTTTTTTTTTTAACCAAATCAGTGGAAAATGGAAAATGAAAGTGCTTCTGGTATCATGCATAAGCATAAGTCTCATAAGCTTGAAATAATTTCTGGGAGAACAAACACAAATACCTCCGAGGCCCAGCCAGCTAGCGATTGCGAGGGAAAGTGCATGCACCACTTAAGGGCAGAGAAGTTCAAAACTCTTTTAAACACTGCCAAAAATTATCCTGGGTCACAGTGTGCAACCCTTGATTAGAAAAAGATGGAAATCACAAGACATGGCAAAAGTGACTAATCTTTGTTTTTCATGTGTACTTGTGGTGATCAGTGGTGTTCAGTTTTGAAGGAAAAAGCATGTACGAATGTTGGCAATATGTCTAAAGAAAGAGATATAATTAGAGATTTTACATATTTTTTTTCATTCTGGTAGTGGACACCATTCCACCTCCAATCGGTCATTGAATATTCACCCAGTTGACTGACAGATACATTGTTTACCTACTTAGGGACTGAATATGCTGTCACCTCTTTTGCTTTCTTTATTTTATAAGGGCAGTTGGTGGGAAAAGGATGCAACAAGAGGCAGAATCCTCTTCTTGTACTTGGTTTTTTATGTTCAACAAACTAACTATATTATTACAAACTCACCGCCACTTAACTTGGTTTTTTAAAACATAGACTTATTTAGTCCACATAACAATGGAAAGATGTCATACCCAAAATAAATTTTCAGTGGTCATAGAGTAAGTAGATAAACTGATGTGAGTTTTCCTATTGATCAATAATTGACTGGTTGCTAAGTTGCTTGATTGTTCACACACCATGAAAGGTTAAATTCTTATCCATGATCCAAAACTCTTATGGGCATATTAGCTATGATAGTACTTCATCAAAATTCATATGTAAAATTTTGATTATTAGTTTTCATTAAAATCTAGATTACACTAGGTTGACCACTAAGAAGTTATCATACCGGTATAGAAATGATATGGAAACTTGTGGTGAAAACATCAACATGAACATAGGAATATAAATATTTAGAATTGTAATGTTTTGTTAAAGATAATCTGATTTTGTGACCAGCACTTTTCTTAAATTAGTAAATATCTAAGACTATCCTCTATTTAGGAATAGCTAAGACACAAAGTAATAAAATAAAATGAAAACAACTTTTTTTGTTTATTCATTTATTCAATTAATAGTTTCGTTAAGGTGTATGTATTGTACCTTATTGGTTGTCCACTCCATATCCATTCTCCTTTTACCTATGCAGGAGAATTTGGTTACATACTTCTCCTTTTTACTCAGGTGGGTGGTCCCATCTCATTTTCAGGAAGTAGATTCTGTACCAATTAAGATAATCCCATCCTCCTTGTGAGTGGCCAGTCAGTGAATGGGCACCTGACCCAGACGTGGTAAGAGACATAGGAGACACCTTCTGGGAGGCTCCTGTGAGAGGTTTTCTTATTTCTAAAAGAGAGCTCCAGAAAAAATGTCCCTTGTCTCCTCTGGCTATTTTCTTGCCTTGATATGAAGCCAGGAAACACCCTACCAACTTTAGGATGGATCCAACACTTAGAGAAAAACAGAGCCCAAAGGATCACTGAGAGGATCACCGAGGCTCTCATGACCTCTGGACTTCTTGGTATGTGAAATAAATGTTCTAATTTATGTGCCAGTTTGAGTTGAGCTCAGAAGCTACTTGGAGCCAGTAGCAACCTATCTGATACAGTTTATTCTGTGCTTGCATTAGGCTACTGATAGAATGTAACAATAAATGTGGTGGTACCTGGTCTAGTGATAAAATTAGGAAAGGCAGAGGGAGTGGCTGTGCTCCTAGCCAGGATGAATCCTTTGTAAACTGCCTGAAATGGAGAGAAAGCAGTGGTCTTGGGAGGTAATGAAAATAGTTTGGTATGTTTGAAGCATTGCATGCTAGCAAGGTGAGCACTTCTCCCCTCTATTATCCAGTGGATGATAAAACTGGAACTTCATTTCTGACCCTGGACTAGCAAATTAAATAGGTACAAGTTGTTTCTAAAGACCTCGAATACCCCAGCTTTCTAACGTTTCCTCAGACGACTCTGATTCCCTCACCATGTTCTCTGAGGGCTGGTTTTCTCCTCATACTGCATAGATATTCACTCCTTTTGCAACTCCTCCCTTTATGGGTCTCCTTTTTCTAATTTTGCCTGATGTAATTAGTGGGAGGCAGCTGCTCTGAGGTTCATATCAACTGACACCTTCTAAAGACTCCTTTTAGAAGTCTGAACGAGGGAATTTTTGTTCCAAAGTTCATACTTTACAACTTTTTATGAGAATTTGAGTCCGCTCAGACAAGTGATCTAAGTGAAGTGTCTTTTATACTACAATTAAATTGTGTTTGGGCTCATTACCTCAAAATACAGATAGTTAGTAGTTTCTTTTACAGATAGTTAGTAATAAGTTTATAATATTGGTACTACAATGGTAGTATTTTTCTATTTCTGGAAGTACTAGCAGTATTTTGATATATTTCATTTGTCTCAGATTAGAATAATCATTTAATGAAAAATCTGTATAATGCCTCTCCAAGCAACTTCCCCAAATTGAATCTGAGTTTCTGCCACGCAGCAAAAATCAAACAGTTGACAAATTTTACAAACTGACAAACTGGCAAAGTCATTGTTTATAAAACTCATCATCTAAAAAATAACAGCAATACTTATTTATAATAACATTTTCCACACTAGCTGACTAGAGAATGGTCAGATTGAAATAAACAAAATTGAGAAAGCTCCTGTGCAATGAAGAATGGCATTCTTCTATGCCATTAAGATATTTTGTTTCTTATCTCCCAGACATATTGAAATTTTGGCATTTGAAAATTTGGTAAATAGCACAAATGTATATATTTTAGGAAAGAATATTGGTGTACAAGATTAGCAGACAACAATTTTAAAATCGAAATAAAAATGTTATTTTTATAATGCCGTTTTAAATATTTGTAAAGAATTCTTTGAACAACAATACTCTTTTTAGGTAGCTTCACGACAAGCTTTGTGTCATGGAATTTCACTTGGTTCCCTCAGTTAGATTTGAGTTTACATATTTTATTTATTTGTTTATACATACTCTGCCTTGTTCCAAAAAAATAATTTAGAGCAGCACCAACTCCATGGTATAACATTAGAGCTATTAAAGATTAAAATGAACTAGCGTGCATGCCATATAATTTGGGCTCTTGTGTGTTTCTCCTACCTCAGGGCAACATTAATTATATACCTCACATCAACTTTGTTGAAAGAGTCATATTTTGCCAAATACTTAAAACCTCCTCAAAAAGTAAATCAACATAAATAACCTAAAGAAGACTTCAGTGCACGGTTGTGAAATTCATAGATATGTACACTATATATCTAGTTATGCTTTCAAATTACTTATTTAAGAAATGTAACTTGTTTTTGGAAAGAAAGCATATACAAAAATTTCAGTAAAATGGAATAAAGAGAAGAAAACATGAGAATAAAGGTTATTTACATTGGATAAAAATAGTTATTTTTTAATATATTTTCAAAGTATAGATTTTAAAGTATTGTACAAATTCTAAACTAAGATACACATGAATGCATTGTTTTCATTTATTGGACAGAAATATCATAAAAATGAATTTAGGAATCTTAGTCTATGGCCATGCTACCCTGAACAAGCCCAATCCCGTCTGATCTCAGAAGATAAGCAAGGTCAGGCCTGGTTAGTACTTGGATGGGAGACCACCTAGAAAGACCAGGTGCTGTAGGTGTAAAAAAATTATTAAAAATAAGGGATTGTAAGCTGACAAGGTCCTTGCAACCTGTGATGGTACAGTAAATTTACTAGCTAGCATTTTTCCTCTAAAAAATGAAAACTTTGCCGTAGACTATAGCATGGCTTGAAATGCTATGTCTGCATGATAATTTAAAAATGGAAAATTTAAACTTTACACTCCAAAAGCTTATTTAGATTTTTTTTCTTGCACTGTTTTGTGTAATGCAAAATAATGATTTTATTTCTACGGCATTGTAGATACTAACATTTATGTATCTTTATTTTCATATTGTATAGTAATTTTACTTTAAATTATTAAATAGGCTATTTTATTTATTTCAAATTGCAGTTGAGTTGGTTCTAATTATTGAACTGTCTGTGCACTGTATGTTGCAAGCAATTTTAAACTGTTGTATACAAGTGGAAAGGGTATTAGAAGTATAACTGTGCTATTATTTCAATAAAGACCTCTTGACACATAAAAAAAAAAAGGCAAGTAGTGTCGCCTTAAAAAAAAAAATTTAGAAATCTTGGAAGTATATTTAATTTTTTTCTTTTTTTCTCCTCTACAATTTAATGTACATTATAAAAATTCTCCCTAATACTTAGAATTTTATGTAAATTTAGGAAATGTTGTGATTTCAATATTCAAATGTGCAATAATACGCCTTTTTACATAACACATAATTATAGAATTGTTCAGAATTTCATCATGTTGTTTAATCACTGGTCAATAGGTCTGTGCCCCTAGGTGTTTAATCTTGGTGACACTGACTTTTTGAACTGGATAATTCTTGGTTGTGGGGGCTGTTCTGTGCGCTTTTGGGTATTTAGCGATATCCCTGGCTTCTACCCATTACACGCCAGGAAACTTCCCTCCAGAAGTGACAACTTAAAATATTTCTAGACATTGTCAAATGTCCCTTGCGGGGCAAAATTGCCCCTTTCCTCCCACTGAGAGAGACGGTGACCTATAGGAACCTAAGTTAAAACATGTCACTCCTTTGCTCGAAACCTCCAGTGATTTCCTGTTACTTTCAGTCAAGTTCTAACACTAACCAACAAGGTCCTACACAGGTAGGCCCCTGATTGCCTGTCTGACCTCATTGCCCACCTTCTCATCCTGGTTCACTTTGATCAGCCATATCAGGCACTGTGTCAGTCCCTGACCTATTCACTGGCTACTCCCCCAGTGCTCCTCCTACAGATATCCCAGTGACATACTCCCTCCCCTTCATCAAGAGTTTGTTCTGATATTACTTCCTCTGCAAGGCCTACCCTGACCAACCCATTTTAAATATAATACCACCTCCCGACCGGCGCTGCCAGTTTCCATGCTTCCTTTTCCTTATCACTTAATTGATGCCATAATTTATAATTAACTTATTGTGCATATTGTTTATTTTCTCTTCCCCTGTTAGAAAAAAATGATAGATATTTTTGTCTATTTTGTTCACAGCTATACCCTCAGAACTTAGTACAGTGTCTAACACATAGTAGCTGCTCAACAAATACTTGCTAAATGGAGAAATGAGAAAATAAAAATCCTAACGTTTTCTGCCAAGTTGAACTTTTCTTTGCGTAGGTGCTAGTTAAGATAATAGAAGTTCACTTAACAGAAGCATTGCTTTGCCTGAGCTAAACAGAAAAATAATATATGGAAAAGATATTGGGTAGATATTAGGTAGCTTAAGAATCAAGTATAGAAAATTCTCAGGATCAAAGTGAGCCGTGGTCAAATCCATGTCTAGAATTGGTTTCCACAAATACTGTTGACTTGCCGATCAACAACAGAATCACTTGTATGTGCCAAACCTTGAGCTAAGAGATGATTTGTGAAATGTCACGTTAAATGTAAATCCTATGGCAATCCTTAGAATCAATAGTGTAAATTTTTAATGGATAATTTTAATAACATTTGACAAAATAGTTGGAGTATCAAGACAATCAGCATGTCTTCTAATTCTTCTTCTAGATCTTGACTTCAACAACTTACTACATCGCAATGTCTATTATGTTCTGTGAATTTTACCATGGAACTGTCTCTCAGTTCCCTCTACTTTTCTTTTCTCTCACTGCTGTTATTCTATTCTGGGACAGTGTACATTTTTCTCAATTAGAGTAGCACCCTTCCCGTTCATCTCCTGCCATTATAATTACTATTTCTTCTAAACTATGTTCTTACCTACCATTTTCTTTGTAAAATAAAACTGGGCAATAACACTCTTCTGCTCAAAATCTTTTAATAGCACCCCAAGATCCTCATGATCTGGCTTTGTCTCTTCCCACTTTCCTCCCCCACTCCTCACACCCCAACAAACAGTGCAATCTCAAAATGCCAGTAATCATGGTCCGAGGGTGTTAATTCTCTTGGAAAAACTAGGATTCTACAATCAAGATGAAACCATTGAGTTCACTAGTGTTCTTCTTGTGTTAGTGAGTAATGCAAGAGAAATTAAAACCTCAGCTAATTTGTAATGTTCTGCTAATGTGTGTCAGGCAGGTAACTGAAAAGGAGAGGAAAAAAAAGTCATGGTTTTCAGAGAAAAAGATGTTCTTTTTCTCTGCTGATATCAGGTGTGTCTATCATTAGATGAAGGAGTGGTGAGGAGAAGGAAGGAAGGTAGTGAGTTACTGTCACGAGGCCGGTAGGAAAAGGAGAAAAGATTAGGAAGTCATCTGGGAAACACTCCCCAGGACCTTGAGTGGTTTCTCCTAACTGGGGGAAACACAGCTTCTCTCATGACTTAACAAAAGCTGTGGTGAAATTTTCGGGGTCCTCCTACATGAGTGCTGACATGATTTGGTGCAGATGAATCTGTGAAATGATGACATGTGCCTTTTATGGTTTCATAATTTGTAAATGTTGCAAATATAAGAAAAAAGTAAAGAAAATTTAAGAAACAAGTTTTCAATCTTTATAATTCTAAAACAGTTTTTCTGAGATATGAGAGGGTTTAAGTAAAATTTCCAATAAACCCTCACTAATTCAGGTAGGTTGGTATCTTTCTATCTGAATCAATCCATCGAAGGCCAAAACGGTTCTATTTAACTGCTAACAATAGTTTCCATGATAATCTTTAATAAACACATAAAACTAATTTACAATCATGAGCATATATTTCTGTAGATATAAAGTACTAAGCACTTGAATCTTCTCCCTGCTAGAGCCTGTATTAAGTAGTAAGTTCTCATTCTTCTATTTAACTTACCTGCTACTTTAAAACATACCTGCCCTACTGCCATGAACTCTACCATGTCTCATCCTCATAACCCAAATAAATCTGTTACAATTTATTGAGGTAATAGTCAACATTAAAAAAAGTAATAATGGAGTTCTCCTTGCAAATCTGACATTGAGTTTAGAGTTAAATACCCCATATTATGCATACAGTACTTAGTGGTTCATAAAAGGAATTTTCAAGAGTGCTTTTTTGCAACGCTGAGACAGTAACAGCTCTCATCTGCATTGTCCTGAGATATGATTTCAAAACTAAGACACGTTAATTGAATAGCACTGGTTATCTGCATAGAAGCGATGTGGAGGGCCAATTTCTTGGAGAGACATGGCCCCACAGGACTTAATTTTACCTGTGGTGTTCAAATGTGTTACAACAATAATGTGTTTGTGATTTATTAATGTTTTTAAAATACATTTACAATAACAACAAAAACACTGTCAAAGGAAAAGAGTGCTTTTGACTATTTCCAATTCATATACACTTAATTTATAATCTAATCTTAAAAATAAGATGCAACTTCAACAGACCATTAGGAGAATGAGAAGGTGGGCAGGAAAAAATACGGAAGTATGGTTCATTTCCTTAAGGAAGACACAAAACTAGTGATCAAGTGATTAATCATACAAGTCAAATCAAGTGTTGGGGTGGTCAAGAAAATGGAGGTTCATGGGCACAGGGGTTGTCAGGAAAGGTCTCATTTAAAAAGATGAGCTGTGGACTAACTACCAGGATTATGCTGTGCCTCGCCCTCTCCTTACGGGATGGTGGCTGGCTGAGCTGTTAGCACTGGGCCTGACCTGGCAGAGTGGCCACCTATGTCTGTTCAGATTATGGAGTCCTTGGCTAAACTGAGGAGATCTGTTTACCAGAAGGACTGTGAGCTGGAGAAGAGGAGGTGGTTCATAGACTGGATGGGGGATAAAGAAAAAGAGTTCAGAATTAGACCGTTATTCAAGAGATCCTACTCAACGTATTGGAACAGTGGCAGTTTAGAAAAATAAAAAGTGGGTCAAAACAGTGAGAAGGCAATAGCGAGATGCAAGGAGATAACAAAGGGATTTCAACAAATCCCTGGAGCAGTGGAACCTCCCGTGCGGCTCACTCAGGGTCATAGATGCCTTGCTGGCCTAGGGTTGACCCTTAGGAATCATCAGAAACATACCAGGAAGAAAGTCGCTCAGGCAAAGAGAAATCATGATTCATACACAGATGCAGAAGTGGCCTCAGCATCATCTTAGGAGAGAGCCCTTGGCACATAATAGGTACTTAATAGTATGTGATGGTGAACGAGTGGATATGTTGAAACCGGATCCAATGAGCTGACATGGAGCAGAACTGTGTGAAATTCTGTTAGAACAAAAGGTCTAGGCCCTGTTACAGAGGCTTTGAAAACCATGCAAGGGAGTTTGGTAGAGAGATTTATGTTAACTTAGCTAAAAACATCCTTTTAATCACACTGTCATCGAAGACAATCCAGATATAAACTCAGCCCAGATCAAAAGGTCACAAATAATAACAGCAAACATCAAACTTCTATGGTCTTATTATAATTATATATATGCAGATATATATGATTGTTATAGAAAGTAAATTGTTCTCTATCACTAATTTTCAGCTCCATGGAATAACATTTCTCACTAGAAACTATTGTCTGACAGAACTATATCTAAACAACAATGCAATATTTGAAATAGAAGGTATGTCTTAAATTTTCTTTGTTGATTGAATAAATTTTCAGTTAAGTAACAACTTTGAACTATGCAATTGCTAATGGCATGCAAAAATCTGTTTTAACATTTCCATTGAAAATACGTGATGGAATCTATTATTTTTTAAGGTTCTTATGTACATTTCATTTTAAAAAATGTGCTTTTGATTACAGTTTTAATGCAATCCTGTCTTGTGTGTTATTCAAAAAGTAAAAGAATCTTTTTTAACACAGAAATTTTGCCATTCTGCTGCACAGTTGGACACAAACTAGTTACAGTGGAAGCAAATTTTAATAATATTTGGGAGCATTCACAAATATAACAACTTTATAAATAGTCTTACTGTTTTTACTAGCTACAATTTTTACCAGCCAAATTCTTGTTTTCACTCTGAATTAATTTTATATGTTCAGCAATCTCCAAACTGATGATTTCAAACCAGGTGTAAAACTACATGATATACTATGATCATGAAATATGAAGAGGTACATACTGCACAAAATGTTTTTCTTCAAAATACCATAGATTTTAAGATCTACCATGATTTTATGTACCCCGAAGAAAGAAAACCTTGCCAATTAAACTGTGATGTGTCTATTGCAAAGACACAAGCTACTTTCACTTATGTTGAAAATGTGGGAAAATATGCAATTTAGAATCAACAAAAATGATATGAATATTTGGATTCATATTGTGTAAAGAAAATATCTAGTTAAACAGTTTGGGGGGGTATTGAATTGAATGAGTAATTATTCCCTTGATTGGCATTATAAATCTAAGCAACACTGGCAAAACAAAACAAAACAAAACAAAAAGAAGAGTAAAGAAAATAGCTCTTCTAAAATCAAACAAAAAAATCATTGCTACAGAAAAGAAAAACATAAAATGGTAATACTGGAAAGAAACTGACTCTACATTCCCAATCACACTCAATTAATTGAATACTTATGCTTTGTTCTATTCTTAATGATAAATCACAATATTATTGGTAATAACTCTCCCTTTCGCCAGCTGTAATGTATTCTTTGCTTTTGTTTAGTGTGTTTATTTAGCATTAAACGTGTTTAAAATCTCGTTAAAATTTTTTTTTAGGCCTGCACTATTTGCGTTCATTGCATATACTCCTGCTACATCACAATGAGTTAACAAACATCGCTGCAACAGTGAAGGAATTAAAGGGAATGCTAAACCTGAAGACCCTAAGTATTAATTTGCACTTTTATATGGCCATAAATTAAAACAGTAATAACACAGGATTTTTTTTCATTTTTAAAATTTAAATTAGATCAATACTTATAACTAAAATAGATAGATATTTCTGAAAACGAGACTAGGTCTTATTCTTTTTAAAAATGTTTTTGAAAGAACAGGAAGAAAAAATTTTGTCAAATGATTAGGCGTGCCAAATGAAAATGACAAAAGTGACAAAAGATTTATATATTTAAATCTGTGGTTTTGGTTTTACCTTAAAAGTAAGTTTTAGCCATATTATATGATTCCATGTATATAACATGTCCCAAATAGGCACATCTATCAGGATAGCAATACTGAGAGGTAACTGTTTTTAAATAGATTAGTGTTTTTCCAGGGCTGGGGGGTGAGGAGACTGGGGAGTAATAGCTAAAGAATAAGGGGTATGGTTTTCTCTTTAGGGTGATGAAAATATTCTAAAATTGGCTGTGGTGATGGTTGCCCAAAACTGTGAATATACTAAAAAAATGTATTGTATACTTAAAATTGGTGAATCGTGTGGTTATGTGAATTATATTAATGAAGCTGACACCAAAAAAAAAAATAAATAAAGTAAGTAAGTTTTTATTTAAGTTTTCAATTGGGTGAATAGCAAGCTGAGTGTGATTCATGAATATTGAATCACACTCAGCAAGGAACTGGCCTCAGTATTGGAAGAAAGTGTGAAACAAATTGGAAAAATAAATAATATAAAGTTCCTACTCTCAGTAAGTTTAGAGTATTGAACAGTAAATAAATCCATACACAACTGCAATATAGGACAAATGGTTCTAGGTATAACAGGGAAAAGATGCTCAGATTAACGAGTGGGTTTTTAAACTTTAGAGCCTGGAGACTTCTTGATATAATGTCACAAAATAGATGGCCTTTTGAAATTTCCTATTTGTTTTCCATTCATTTCTCAGAATTGCTTGACACTGTTTTGAATACGTGTAAATTGGTGTTGGTGATGGAGGTTCTAATCAAATCAATACATTGAGAGTAATTAAAGTTTTCATATATTTTCAGTGTTAATCAGTTATATGTACTATATTTAGGAGAAATGATTCATGTGTTATAGGTGGATTCTTTAAACCCAACCCAAATATTAATATTACACCAAGTTCATGGCAAATCCATGCTTATTCTTAAGACGCGATAAGGTCTGTGAAAGACTCAGGATTGGCTTGCATATTCGAATTATCTGGCCCTTCTGTGCTGAACAGATGCTTTTAATGATTAAAGGCTGATTATACTAGATACGGAATTCTTACTTATCTTCATTTTTCTATAAAATGAATTAATAGCTACCTCTCAGGATTGCTTGAAATATTAAGCTATTTTTGTAAAATACATATTTTTAAAAAGCATTTCTTAATGCTATTTTGAAGTAGCAACAAAAATTGTTTTATTATTATGTAAATTAGATAATGAATTAAGATGCACACAGTCTAGAAATTCTTCTGAGTAGTAAATAGATTAAAAAATATAACTGACGTTTTAAATAATAATCATTATAACATATCTTAATATCTTCCCTGTTGAGCAAATGCTTTCTTACAATATTCTCATTTAAATTTTCACAGCAATCTTATGACATGATTACAGTTATTCCCTCTTTAATGGCACAAATGTAAGGCTCAGAGCTTTAACCAAACTACTAAGGAGTGTTGTTGAAACTTAAACTCATGCCTGCTTCTTTTGGCTATCATTTATTCATTCATTCAATAAATATTTATCATGTATTTATTATGTGACAGTCTACTAGGTGGGGACACAAAAGTGAACAGGAAAGTCTCTGGACCTTTATGGAACTTGAGCTTTTATAACTTTCAGGCCAAAAATTTCTTAGAGAGCTGAAGGGGCTTGATGCAAAACTAATTAGATAATTTGCTAAATTTAAGAACTCAATAATTTAAGCAAACTTATTTTACAATATAAAATTTAAAGGTTAGCAATCAAATTCACCCCGATCATAGTCAACAGGATTATGTGCCTGCCCCAGAAATGAGGGGAGTCTGAAATCCACCCCATGCCCTCACTTGTCTGTCAAGGGTGTATGTGAACCCAGAATCCTGTCAGCCCTGAGTGCTGTGAAGGAGTGCCTTTTCTAGTTTCCTTAAACTAGAAAGGCTGTTAGGTCAACCTGGTAGTTTAATGTCCATATTATTACCTGTCACAGCAGTTTAAGTGACCTCATAGTGATGTAATTCAAGTTATATAATTGTTCCAACCGAGAATCCTGTAGTGGGATCATTTTTTGAAATGGAGAACATGCTGTGTCGAATTACAAAAAAAAAAAAAAAAAAAAAAAAATTATTTTCTGAAAATTTAGAGAAACAAATATGCACATTTTGAAACTTTTCCCCATTTAGGTCAAAGAAATTGTATAGAAAAAAATGTTTGCATTTGCTAGACTACAAATAGTGCAGTAATGTCCTCAGATTAAATTTCTATGAGCCTCATTTGCAATCACAGATTAGATTCAGCTCATTAACTAAAATGAGAAGTTCATGTATTTTGAAATGTTAAATTTTTTGTCTTTTCAAGTTGTAAAACCATGTAAAATGCTAAAGTGTTATCATTATTCCATTTCAGTTACAAGTTCTTCAGAGGGTGAGAAAATTGCCTGGAGGTAAACCTCTAATCCATTTCAGCATTGCACCCTCCACTGGCATTTATGAGGAGAATTGCCAAGAGATTGCCCAGGAGACACATAGCTGGAAGCTGCAGGGAGGCCTAAAACCAGCTGCAGAGTGTGAGGTCCTGGAAATGAGAATTCCTGACTTCCAGGCTGAGTCAGGAGGGCCCCACCTCTCCTCTCCAGGCAGTCTACCTTTCCACACCCTCCTCAGCTCCATTTTCCTCCGCCTTTCCCTCCTCCGAACTCTACATCAGGATCTACATTTGTCAAAGTCCTGGCTGATGACTTTCGCTGACATTCAGTCTCCCTGCCTCTTTCCCAGCACAGAGAGAAAAAACACCACCACTACCAACAGCAACGAAATACTTAACACTTTCCCGCTCGTCAACTTTTAGTCTCCTCATTTCTGTCAAATTTTCTCTTTGTTTCATTAAGCTCCACTATGGAGAACTATACTAAAACTTCTACATTGTGTAATTTTTAAGACTTGCTCCTGGCAGAGATATAAGGATTCACCACTGGAGATCAGGAGTGTCCCTTTCAAGAGAGGGTCTCCATATTTTATAGGTTCTGCTCTTAAATGTTTTTTACCATTCCTCATTGGGCTGCAGTCCACTGCAGACTGCAAATAGCCAGAGAATGAAGAGGCATGCAAAGAAATCTGGGTAGGACTATGATCTCAATGGCTCTTTATTTGAGCCTCTTTACCTGAAATGCCCCTCAAGGTGGGACCATCCCTCTGAAACAACGAAACAGAACAAGCCACCCAAATAAAAAGAGTCAACTAGGTCTTTCACTGCTGTTTGTCCTGAAGAAGAGAATATTCTGACCCCTCTATTCTCTTCATCCCCTGCTTCAGTCCAAGTTTGCCTTTTAAAAATCAGAAATGATTTTAGTTGAAGTAAGATGGTGATAATCGTGGAGATCCTGATCTTCCTAAGTAATCTTGAGCCAAAATCTCGAAATCTTCGTGTCTGATCATTGACATCTGAACTTCCTTCCCCAAGCTGTTCTGTATAGGCACAGAATATAATTGCTAACGCTTCTCTCTATCATTTTCTTGATCTATTAAAATGAATATATTAGTACATTATTAATGACATCGATGTTCTTCAAAGGTGGTCTCAAAAACATTGGGGTTCCTTTAAATGATTTTAAATTTTGCTTCAAAGTTTTATAAAACAAATTAACCGGAGCAATTATTTAGATGACTATATTTTTTTCTTCTCCTGTTTCAATAATAAGTAGATTCACACATGTGACTCATGTAACTCAAGCTTGTACAGTGAGCTAGTAGAGACATTTTGATATATTATTGGGTAAATGTAAATTGCTTAGACTCAGAATCCCAAATTAAGATAAGCAAGACAGTGCTGGCGCCACTGCGGTGTACTCTTTAAGTAGCCTAGAGGGAAGGTGGATTAAATAGTATTAACCTATTGAAAGTGAAAGTATAAGCAATTTTGCTTCACAGTTTCCAAAGGAATGCACCCATACATCATGGAACGCTTTCAGAACTTTCAGACACAGGAAACCAGTTTCATATCTTAGAAACTTAATTTATAGTAATTTTAGTAGCATCAATCCAAAACTCATAAATCCAAAATGTGAGATGCTTAGTAGTATAGAAGGAGGCAAAAAAAAGACGGTTAAAAATAAGATTGCTTCCTTCTAAAATTTAAGAGTGAGGAAGAAAGTGAAGAATAATAAAGACGAAATGCCTTTCAAATTATTTAATTCTCCCTATTTTTTTTTTTAAGTTAATTTAGGCAGAGGCTGGGCTTAATAGCCGAGTTTTCAGATTTGCTGTCACTTAGATTTTACTTCATAATGAAATGAATGTTGAACCATAATAAGCACATGGGGTTTTTAGTATTGAGACATCTTCTTAATAACTAATATAATAGTAGTGAATCCCAATTTGGTGTTCTGTTTAGCTGAAGCTAGAAGTTTTTTAATTTACATAAAGATGTTAACTAAGCATTAGGAGAAAAAGTGAAGAAAAGAAATGAAATAGTAATGTTCTCACAGGGGAAAGAGAATATAAAGGGTATACCAAAAATAAATGTGACTGACTGAAAGATGTTGGTACATTTTCCATTAATATCATATGCAGAGGCACTCTACTCCCAGTGGCTATAATGTATGCTAGGGTTGTGAGGTATCTATCAGATGTGATTCTCCAAGATAGTAACCACAGAGCAGACTTCTGCACTAAAGAATTTGTGACTTATTCTCCTTCCTAAACTCTCATTAAAAACAATTGTATTTGCTTTTATATCCTTAATGGGTGTCCTTTTCTCTTTTCTTTCTGGCCCAAACTACAATGCCTGATCCCTGCGGATATTTTTAAATCTGCCCTTATAACTGGTTTAATATGCATTTGTTCTATTCTGTCTTATAATTATTTGTAACTGCTTTAAAAATTCTTTCTTTTAAGATTAAAATTCAAACCAGTTTTGCCCTCACTTAAAAAATCTTGAAAAATATCCATTTCATTTTCCTCTCATTTCCCCCAATACATATTTCCTTTCTTTTAAATTTCTTTGTTGCTCCTGGCTCTACATTTTCTTTTATGCTTTTCTTTTGTTCATGATTCCTCAGGTGTCTTCCACTGCCTGCTGTAAATCCCTCCAAAACTCATGTTTTCCACAGGGAATAACTATATGTAATGAGTTTATTAGCCAGAAAATTTTCTGCTTATCCAAAAAATATCAGAATTTTTTTATTACACACAGAGAAAACATCCAGATGATTAACTTTTTCAGTTTTTATCTTGTTTGTTGTCTCTTAAACCCCCATCTTCTTTAGCCAAACTGATTTTCATAAATATGAATCAGGTTTTTCCCTAGGTTTCTAATGCTTAATATTTTCATGCTTTTATCAAGCCTGTTTGTATTTTAGTCGAAAGCTACAGCACTACTCTTAAATTTAACACGTACAATAAAAAGAGCCTCATTGTTGAAAGAGGGTAGTTGTACAATAGCTGGAGCTCTTTCTGCTACTGCCATCTAGTGGTTCTCCTCACTAGATATATTTTCCAGAAATTGCATGTAGGCAGAATCCATGGAAATATAAACTTTTGGAAAAATAAAACTTTTATGGAAATCATAAAAGTTTTTTTTCACATTGTATTGAAAAAAAACATGTTTAATGTTATAAAAGGAGGAACAAGGAAAATATATTACCTTTTCTGTGAAAATAAAACCCTCACAACTTCTAGTTGAATGTTTTTTTAAAATGTCCTACATGCTGATGCCTAAGGGATGTGACATCAGAAGTGCCAGGATCTCTTCAAAATTCTACGTGCCTCCCATCTGCAGCCACTATATTCGCCAGCATGGTTCATCAGGTATCCCTGGCCAGAGGCAGACATCAACAGCTACTCAGCTCTGCTCCTGCTGAGATCTGAAGCTGCTGCTGGCATTTACCTATTCTGACCTATGCACAATGGTGCAAAGTGGAGGAAGAAAACTATATTAGAACAATACACCACATCTCCGTCCATCTCCACACAGGCAACCTGTAACCACTTGAAGAAGAGAACGAGTGAACAAGTACTTTAATAAATACCAGCATCAAGACCCCCATAGAGCTGACATGTAGTTCTTCCTTTACTAATTAACTTGTGGACATGTTAAACCTTTTCTCTTTTGTGGCAGATATTCCGGTCAATGATCTGTCCCCGGCACTTAGCACAGTTCCTAATAGATAGCAAGCACTCAGAAAATATTTGTTGAATGAATGAATTTAACAGGAAAAGTACTGCCCTGAATAAGGAAGGGTTTGCTTGGTCTGTGAAGCAGAGCTTTACATGTCTCTGTGTTTTATATCAATCGTGTAATTTTCTATATTTTATTGAGTGATAAGTAAAACTAATTTTGAAATCTGACATCTTAATTTAAATTCTTTCTTTGCAGGTCTCTACCAAAACCCTTTCTGCCAATACAACCTGTATCGTTTATATATAATCTACCACCTTCCAGGAGTAGAGTTGCTTGACAGAAATCGTAAGACCTCTTTCTTGTAGAGGAACATTTGAGACAGTCTTATAACTCAGTGGTTTCAAAATGCTGAAATCTGAACCTAAATTTCTTAAGAAATGAAAGTTTTTAAATTAGTTTTGAAATTTTTGCTCTATGAAATTTTCCTTCCTTTAGCAATTTATGCTTCTTGACCACTGTACTGGAAAGGCCATCTTAACCGAGCATGAGGATCAGTCTTCCTTCTGGTCCTGATACTGACATTAATGTGTTGAATGCCAAATCATTTACCCCCTGCTATCTTGGTTTCTTATTTTGAAAATGAGAGAATTGGACTAAATTTTTTAAGGTCTATTTAAGTTCTAAAAATCATATTCTTTGAAATTCTGTAAATGTATTAAAACTTATATCATCAATGGTAACTTTTTAATGAATACATCTTTAGATGCTGTAAATAAGCTAGCATGTCTGATTCATATAAACCACAAAAACGATCAACTTCAATGCATTACATTTTACATTTTTGGAGGCCTGTGCTTCCAAAGTGCTTTATTACTCATCTTTCTACTTATCTTTCTATCCCTAGGTTTAAACATTCTAAATAATTTATTACTGAGTACCTTTTTGATGAGAATATATCAAAACCTTATGTTCATACCTCTTCTTCCTCATAGCCTTGAGGAAATGAAGGATGTATCATAGTTGTAATTTTATTCATCCCTGGTGATGTGTTAGAAAGAGTCTGGGAGGCATTAGAATTGATCTGTGCCTGTGACCTTAGGGGCATATATCAAGCACTTGTAAGATTATGGAAGTAACTGTGATAGCTCTTCACAAATTAGTTTTGATAGGATGTTCACATATAACATAATTCAGGTAAATATATTTTTGAATTTGTTCAATTCTGTTTTGAATCATTCTGCATATATATTTATAATGCTATCCAATAACATTCTTTTTTGCATTTATCAGAAGTTACAGAAAAAGAAAGAAGATCAATGATTACCATTTTTAACCACAGAAAGGCTCATATTGTTCAATCAATATCATTCAGAAGAAAAGTAGATGCCTCATGGAATCCTAGATCACCAGTTAAGCAAAAACCAGCCCTGAAAGTACCCTCAGGTATTTTGAAAAAAAGCAAAAAATGAGATTAAAACTTCTCAAACTTTTGAGTAATTTGATAATAATAACTGTAATTTATAATAAGCTAAGTACCAGTCTATGGCCATGCTACCCTGAACAAGCCTGATCCTGTCTGATCTCAGAAGCTAAGCAGGGTCAGGCCTGGGTAGTATTTGGATGGAAGACCACCTAGGAAGACCAGGTGCTGTAGGCATAAAAAATAAAAAATAAAAAATAGGAGATTGTAAATTGACAAGGTCTTTGCAATCTGTGAGGTCAACCAAGGGTTGCCTTGCCTAAAAAAAAAAAAAAGTACCTGCATAGTGAAATAAATATTTTCTAATTTTATTAAAGAAATATGTAATTTTTATCTTTATTTATATATATTAAATTCAATGAGGTAGTGTGATAATAATGAGATATTATACTGAAATCTTTATCCCAGTATCTAGCACAGTATAAAGGGATCAGTAAAAAAGCTACAGTTGTTATTATACCACTATCACTGGACAATTTCACTAATTAAAACTATAAGTTTTTGATACTATGAACAAAGTATTAAGAAAAAATAAAGATCATCTGCAATTTCTCTACCTAGAAAAAAGCATTGTTAGTATCTTGGTCATTATATGCAAATATAATTTGAATATCTTCAGGTGTTTCATTAGTTGGAATTAATTTTTTATATGTAACTGAAATCCAACTATAGTGACTTAAGCAAATAGAGATTTACTTTTCTCATGTAGTGAAGAGTACAAAGGTAAGGTGCCCAGGGTTAGTGTTAAGTTCATTGACATCATCAAGGGTTCAAGGATACAGCAATTTTTTTGTTCTACTATTCTTAGTGTGCTTTATGGTTACAAGGTGGCTGCTATACCACCAGGCATCACAAAGAGGGATTAAAAACAAGATACAAAGACAAAAGCCTTTCCTCATGACTTTGCAAACATACCTTTGAAAATGAAAATGCACTTAAGAATAGATTTTCTAGAAACAAAGGGGAAATATTAAATTGGAAAAGTTTTGAAGAAATTACCCAGAATGAATATAGAGAGAGCAAGAGATAGAAAATATTAATCAGCTGTTGATACAAGGAGACATTAGAAAGATAAGGTTCAATATAAGTTTAATAATCCTAAAGGAAAAAGGTAGAGAAATTGAGAAAAGGTGATCTTTGAAGTAATAATGGCTGGGAATTTTTCAATTTTCATAGATAATATGAATCCTTAGATTCACCAGTCAGAATTAATCCAAAGACATAAAAGATAACAACAAAACAAAAATCCACGCCAAAAACAAAATGATCTTAAAATAGTCAGAGAGAAACTGTAAATTTACCTACAAAAGAATAATTTATAGATTCACAACAAACTCCCCAACTGCAATTTTGGAAGTCAGAAAACAATGCTCTTATAACATTAAAATGCTAAGGAAAAGTAATAGTCAACCAAGAATTCTACAATCAATTAAGTTATTGTTCAAGAATGAGCAAGAGAAAAAAAGAGAGCAAAAATCAAGACTTTTCCCTCGATTTTTGATTATGAAATTTTCTACATAGAAAAAGCTGAAAGAATATTAAACACCTGTATATGCCCATGTATTCAAAAATAATATTCTTCCATATTCACCAAACCTCCGTATGAGGCTTTGCCTTATGTGAACTGGAAACATAAAAATATTGCCAAATCATTTAAATACTTCAGTAGCAAACATCATGATGTTTCACTCCTAAATAATTTAGCCTGTACATTTAAAAATAATGTTCTCCTATATAGCCATAATGCCATTATCACACCTAAGAAAAATAACTTTATAGTATTGAATATTTCATCTATATTCAAATTTTCCCAGTTGTTCCAAGATGGCTTCCATAGCTGCTTTTTCAAACCACAATCCAGTCTGATTCATAATTGCATTTAGTTGCTATGGCTCTTTAATATCTTTTAATTTAGAATAAATCCCTAAATTGTTTCCATGATATTTTGAAAGGACCAGGTCAGTTATATTGTAGAATGACTCAATTTGTATGATTGTTTCCACACAAAGTGTCCATTCACTTGTTCCTTTATCCCTATTTGTCCTATGGAATAGAAGTAATATCTATAAGACATGTTCTGATGCAAAACAGTATAGAGCCGTGGTACTCACAGTGTGATCCCCAAACTAGCAGCAACAATATCACTTAGGAATTTGTTACAAATGCAAATTCTTGTCCCAAACGAGATCTACTAAATTCGAATCTCAAAGGTAGGACCCAGGAAGTTATGTTTTAACAAGCCTTTCAGGTGATTCTGTGCATCCTCCAGTTAGAGAACAACCAGCATAGAGGCAAGAGCACAGGCTTTGGGATCAGATTCCTCAGACAGAACACTGGTTCTGCTAGTAAGTTCAAGCTTTATTTTGGAAATTAATTTGCTTCATCTTTCTTTTTTAAAATAGGGATAATCCCTACCTCTGGTTGTTATGACTTTAATATGTAAAACACTGTAACACCTGATCTGACACATCAGGTGCATGATAAGTTGAATCGTTCTATTATTCAGCCACTTCCTTGATTTTTCTTTGACTTCATCGAAGAGCCGATGTCCAAACTGAAGGTGACCCGATTAGTGGAAATGAACCATGCTGGGGTAGAAAAGGAATTTCTGGATAGAAAACCTTCACTCTCAAAAAAAGCTAATGTACCCAATAACAAGCGATATAAGGGCACTCACCATCTGTTTTTCGCTGCTATAATTGTTACAGGTGTGAGAACAGCTGATCATACCTTTAGCGCTTTGCATTTCTTTTGTGTAACTGGATTGTGAAAAGAACGATTATCCTTTTTATTCTCTGTACTACTTTTCATATCACACCTCCAAAAACAAAACAGAGGAAGAATAGGGAGAGTATTTTAATATGTTGACTATAGCCTTCCTAAAAATTGGCAGCATGACGCTAATCAACCTACTGATTTTCTACAAACCAAACATTTATAATGAAACTAACAGTGAAACCATTTGAGTTTTTAAAACTTGTGACTTCTAGTTTACAGTTTCTATATTTATTTTGATATTAATCTTATCTTACTGTGACATGAATATTTAGGACACTGAATTCTTTTATTGGGAAGAAAATATACTTGAAAATGTTTATAAGGCAACTGTAATACCACGCTTTGATTTTATTATCTTTAACCCTAAATTGAGAAAGAAACTAGCTATACTCCAAATAGCTAGAAAAGCAAGGTCAACTTGAAGTTTCTTCAAATCCCAGCTACCTATCGCTATCAAAAAGGTGTGGTTAAAAGGCATATACCTATTTCCATTAATGTCTTTGGTTCTTATTGCATGATATTCTCAGAACCAAAACTCTTTGGGTTTTCATATGACTTTAAAGAAAATGACATTTGCAGATTTCTCAACTACCTAAATTGGAAAGTCATTAAGTATTATTTAAAATAAATGAAAATATCAATAAACTTTTAAAATATCTACCAAAAGTGAAACTGCTACATTTCCACGATGTTTGCTTTTCTCTCCCAAATAAGACAGAATTCCAGGTGCTGAGATCAGGCTGGGGGACAGTATCCCAGAGACTGGACCACACAGTTGAGGCATATACTACTCAGGAACAGAGAAGAAAACCAAAAAGGAAAATCAGGCAGACCATTCAACAAATGGCAGTTCACCATAGTGGGTCAATTCAGGTACAAGGCAACAAGACAGAATCCAGAGAAAACAGAAAATTAAAAGTTTTGAGCTGGGGATCAAAGGCTCAGGAAGCTAGGCCTTGAAGACATCTGTGACTCTGGGTAGCAAAGACCAGACACACCAGGCAAGCAAATGTCAAGTGGTACTTTACATGAAGTCTCAGATAGGCAAAGAGGTCAACGTGAGGTCTGGAGAATGGTTGACAATTAAGAAAGCTATGCAGAGTCAGAAGGACATGTGAAGGCAAAAATCCACAGTCAGTAAAACTATCTGCTTGTAAGCACAATTTACATAGAAATCAATGGCTGGGCCCCTGGAGTTGCGCCAGGCAGTTGTCCTGGGCCAAAGAGATAAACTAGGACTATTTTCTAAGGGAGACATCATATGCAAAAATAAAGTCCAGAGAGATTAAACATCTAAATGTAAATGAATTGGAAAGTACTGGAAAAAAATACTTTTCTAATTCTGAAGTAAAGAAGGCCAAACGAACCTTTACACAAACACCAGAGCCATAAAAATAAAATGCTGACAGATTTAACTACATAAAAATGGAAACCATTATATAACATAGGAACAAAATTATAGACACAATTGGGAGAAATATTTGCAATATACACAATATGCAAAAGTTAATGCTCATTATATCAAAAGGCTCCTATAATAAATTTGAAAATTTCAAATAGAAAAAATAACAAAAGCTGTGAAGACATTTATAAAAGGAAGTAAATGTGATATCTAATGTTTGGCCTCACTAGTGAGCAAATAAATGCAAATTAAAACAATGAGATACCATTTTCACCCAGCGGGTAGGCAAAAGTTAAAAGAGTTGGTGCACTCAGTGAGAACTTCAACAAAGAGATAGAAGACATAAAAATGGAGATAGAAAACAAAAATGAACCAGTTAGAAATGAAGAATACAATAATTGAAATAAAGAATATATTAAAAGGAATCGACAGTAGATTAGATGAAGCAGAGGATCGAATGAGCAATTTGGAAGAGAAGATAGCAGAAAACACCCAATC